AGTTAAGTCAAGTTTGAAAAAATTCATCAAATGATAAACTGAAAAATTAATTGCGTATGCACTGAAAGGGCCAAACATGAAGAGAGAAACGAATGTGATTCATGCAGGTGAATTTCTCACCGTTAAGTCACAGAAGAACAACAAACCTGTCGTAGGCACAGCTTGTGTCCGATACAGTCGTGTCCATATCACCTGTAATGTGCCATGCATACTGATCGTCTGTTCTCAAACGCAGTTGCTCTCCAGCCTGTTTGGTAAGGTAAGTGCAGTCGGCGTTCATGTAGCCCAGAAAGACCAGATTCTGTGGGGATCGAGTGCACATCCATCTACAAAGCAGTTGCTTCAACTATGCAGTTCCTCTTTATTCACCAACGATTCGACCTTCGATTTGGTGCCATAAAGTTTATTATCTACCACTTTTCTGTCCATTTAGAAAAACTGCTTCTTGACTAAGATGCCTCTATCTGCTCAGAGATGATTGTGTGCAGTAGTAGTGCCTGTGAATACTTTAGCCAAACACACAATCGGAGGTCTCTATTCATGTGGATAAGAAGTAAAATTGCCCAAGTAATGGCAAAATGCGCAAAAATTTTGAAGCTCCTGCTTAAATAAAAAACAAATCTCACTGCTGTAAGCCACAATGGAAGTGATCTTGCCTTCGAGTCTGCAAATTTCTCGCATTCTTCTGTGACATTGTAGAGAGCATCCAATTCTCTGCTTACTTGGTTTGGAGAGATGAATTGCCAAAACTCCCAGCCTTAATTTAGATTGAAAGATAAGAGCATAGACTGTCAGTTATTCCTTGGTTGCACTGAATTTCTGCAATAGATTCGACTTCTGATGCTCCGCCTTGCTCATTTACAGTATAGTTATTTTAGAAAGGCTTTACTTTTAATCTTCATCTATTTGCAGGGACCAAGAATCATTAGTTTTGTGCTAATACGAAGAACCACCAAATCCATTGTCACTCATTAATGAGAGTTAAGAAATTTGTAGAATGGCAGAGAGGTCAGAGCTTACAAAGTGTCACAAATTAGACACAGGTTGCTGCCTTGCACATGCAAATGAAATTGGTTAGCGGGTGTTCCTCCTGCTGTGCCGACTTCAATGTGCTGACCGACACGAAGGGCTGACAATGGACAGCGTTGGCAATGACGCA